GTGTATTCCATCGCCATCACTGAAGCCTGGTACAATATTCACCTGAAAATATGCCCTGACTGATACACTAGCAGCTATTCAATTGATACGAAATGAGCATTAGCTCAGGATTCACAGGCTGTAATTGACCAAAAACAGGCACCACAACTACCTGCATTTTGCATACTGTAACTCAAATTTAGTTCAAAACGGCGGTGATTTTTGCTATTGGCAAATCAAATGATGAGAATGTGAATCGATTGTTATTCGAGGAAGCGCAGCAGCATGGAGATTTGCTACAACAAGATTTCATCGACCGGTACAGAAATCTCACCCTGAAGGTAGGGAACACTCGTTTAAAAGATCAGAAGGCATTTGTTTCGTGATTTCCACAAATCATATTACTGATCGCCACTGGTGACACTGCCATAATACCATCGATAGTCCCCGTCAGCAAGCGCTTGCTACTTGTACTTGCTACCTCTCAAGCTACTTCTCAGTGCCTTCACCTTTCATAAGGAGATTTTGAAATATTAGGGTCACAGAAATACAAGCCACATGTCTGAAAAACATATAAGTCTTCTCTGTCGAAAAATGCCTGCAAAAACTGGTAGTGTGATGCGTATGACAGCATGGCTAGATATGTGCTCGACTGACATAAATATGTGTTCGACCGGCATAAATTCAGATACAAATGTTCCAACTGCTCTATGGTGCCCAAGAATCGACTGTGACTTAGGTAGCACGTCGCGTCCAGATGTGAACAGAAGTGGTTCGATCCCTCTTCGGTCCATAACTGACAGTTACTAAAACACGGCTCGGCTCAATGCTATTTTGCGGCGGGTCCCGTCGACGTCGCTTGGCACTTCGTCACGTGTGCTGAGTAACGATACCCGGCGTTCCGCTGTTGGATCACATACATTGGAGGGTAGTGTGTGGGGCGGTTGGGTGGAGGGGAGGGGGTAGAGGGGAGAGAGTTGCACGTGGATGGAGAGTGTTGGTTAGTAAGTGCCTTGATACAGCTCAGGGAGCACGGGCTGGGAACAAAGTAGAGGAGGGGAACAAGCTTATTTATGAAGCTGTTTATGAAGCTGATACTTAAATAAAGCTCAGAGCTCTCAACTTCACCTAAGAATCAGCTGTTCGATCTTTCCGCCTTACCTAAGCATCAGCTTAATAAATAGGAAAGTCTTTTGCTAACAACGGATTTTTTGTTTGCTTCCGTATTTATTAAAAAATTCGTTCGTAGAACACGTATGGACAAGCCAAGCTGTGTTTAGCAATTGCCCCATAACAGTTGCACAAAGGGGTTTTGTCTGCACTCTTAGCACATCAACACCGACAAAGCTTTGTCTATGCCACTACCATTTCCTTCATATAAGCACAGATAACGCAAAAAAAAAAAAAAAAAAAAAACCATCAGTTTCAATTCGCACAATCTCCTCAGTATTTGATGTGCAGGCGGCGATGTGGATCAGTTTTGTTGATGCATTTTGTCCGAGAGTATCGTACATCCTGAAAATGGACGATGATGCAATGATCAATTACTTTGCTCTTGTACAAATGCTACAGGCACGAAGCAATCTCACTTCTCAACTGGTATTTAAACCCAAAACATTGGCTTGCATGGTATCTTCGGACAGCGCTGTTGCACGTTGCGGCTCCAAATGGTACAGTTTCCTGCAGTTCATAGATTTGTGCGAGTGACACTGTACAACTTGAAAATACTAACCCGGTGAGGATAGCAGCATTTACGAAGAAAGGAATCAGTAAAAGAAAAGTCACGGTTTAGTGTGGATATCGCAGGATATTTACTTTGATTAGCCTCGGTTCATAACATGGAATTCCAGCTATATACAGGCTGTAAATTTTCCAGCTGATTTGACCAATCGCCTAATGGTCAGATTGCTGATGAACCAACGGGCTAGCCGAAACCACTTGAATAACCGAATATATAACCTCACTAAATTATTTTGCCTCACTAAATTATTTTGTTACCACAATCGTCGTACTGACAAGGCCCAATTGTGGTAACGGTAAGAAATGTATACGACTTAATGGACCGAAACATTTCTTACCTGTAACAA